AACCGAAACAGGCACCCACACTCTCAAGAATGTGGCTTTTTCAAGACCTTCCGAATTGACTTTTGTCGAGATCAGCTAAAGAAGTCACTATACAATTAAAATTATTTGCTCGGAAGGCAATATTCTAAGCATATTCATTGCCAAAAATCCGGTTAAAGAGAATCCTTGTCACAAAAATTCCCTGGTGCACTTGTTTTCTGTATAGCATCATATCTAATTTTCAGCGAGTTCAAATATTTTCCAATGGTAGAAGAATACAAGACTTTATTATATATAATATCTTCTATTGGTTTCACACAGAATCTCGAAACATTTTCTTCGTCACGAAAACAATCACTATGATACAAAAATAATACTATGCAAAGTCGGTGGTGCTAATTAAGAATAGAAAAATCCTCTTAATATTGATGATTAGAAGAGCCTCATAAAGAGCTTGCAATTTCAAAACGCTTACGTTTGCTCCTTGTATTGATGCCATATATTTTTTGCTGACAAGTATATTACCTGGGTAATGTATCGACGTTGTTTAATGAAGAAAATGAAAGTATTATGTTGCTCATGTGCGCATCGAAAAAAACGTTTGGCCTGAATGCCTTCATCTGTATGCGCGAGGTAATGCATGGTCTGATATTAATGAGACACTGACTTATTTCCCATAAAAATATTTTCATCATTTTGCTTGTTCTATCACTCATCGATGAAACAGCTTCAACAGCGAACAGAGAACAGAGAATAAATCGAACGTTAGAAAAAATGTACGTTATAGCATGGCTTTATTATTTTTTTCAACGTTGTACAGGATAGGTAAAATATAAAGGTTGGGTGTCGGTATGGATGTGAGGTTTGGGTATGTAGCTCTGGATGTGTGACTATGGCTCTGGCTATCTGGCACTGCATTGGTCCACAAGCATACCCAAACCCACACTAGAGATATACAGGGTTACCCTACCCGGTCCTACCCTACCCTACCCTGCAGAGTAGGGTAAGGTCAGGGTATGCATTTGGTGGAGTGAAGTACAATATGGTGGAAGTAAAAATCCAATAAATTAAAGTTGAGTCAAAAAAAGAAAGAAATCATGAAAATTAAAGTAGACATATTTTTAGTTCAGTCGTTAAGAAGGTGACTAACTTCGAGCCACATCTCCCAACCATTATTCATGTGTAAAATGAACAAACCAACCGTAGTTCAATCACAAAAACACATTAATAACGAAGAATCTGTATTACAATGGTGGAAGAAATGGAGTATAAGTTATCCGAAACTAAGTGTTTTAGCAAGATCATTACTAGGTATACCAGCTAGTTCATTCACAAGCGAAAGAAAATTCAGTGCAACCGGAAGAATCCTCGAAGAGCGACGCCAAAACTTAATCGACGATATTGTGGACGATATCTTGTTTATACGAAATTTTAAAAAGATTTTATTGTAATGTTTTGTAGATTATATGTAATGAAATAAGAGAATAATTTATGGTACTTTAATATTTCTTTTTTCAACTATTGTACTGGAATAACATGAATAGACTGTAAAGTAATAACTTCCTATAGTACAGGGATGGTTGGTAGGTTCTACCGAGTGAGGAAAAATAAGAATAACAAGCCATAAAGGTATTATACTGTAAAATTTAGAGTGCAGAGTAGGGTCAACAAATCTAAAGATTTTGCAGGGTAGGGTTGGGTAAGGGTAAAGAATTGTAGAAATTTTACAGGGTAGGGTAGGTCAGGGTAAGCACCTCGTAGGGTAGGGTAGGGTCAGGGGAGAGGACCTACAGGGTAGGGTAGGACAAGGGTAAACAAAAATTACTTTATCAGGGTACAGGGTAAGAGAAAAGCTTACCCTGCACATCTCTAGTGTCGATTAACCTAATTCAATCATGGTCCAATCAGGCTCTGTGCGCAAAAATGAAGCTAAAAATTCAGATGTTCAATCGTATTATCATAATTTCTAATCAGAAACAGTGAAATAGTTAACACATGCTCATCAATAGATATGAGAATTCTGAAAATAAGAATGTGAGAAATTTAAAAGTCTATTTTTGAAAAGGTTAATCGAAAAAGTCAGGAGATGTATTCGAAATCTGATTACACTACAATAAGTTCACGCGTTGGTATTGTCGAATGCTTAAATCTAGCAACCAAACTTTTATTTTCATTGTCCATATGGTGATTTGAAAGTGAAGACTTCAAAATTTTAATCTAAAAGATTCCGTTTGATGATCGGTATTTACAAAACTCAGTCAACCACTTTTAAGAAACAAGTGACGCGACTTTTTGGTCGCTAGGCCCTCTACTGACAGAAGTACAGTATCATAAAGGCACAGTAGCATGGTTTTTTCCAGGCTCTTCGATTACACCCAATGATATCGCTGGTGTATAATCATCGATCAATGATCAAAATGTGATTTGAAAAATGAGATATTTTGATTTTCAGCGAGGACCTGCACTATACCCGTTTTTCTTGCACAACCTACAGGGCTTTACTGAAGTACAATATTTTATCAGCTTTATTCTCACTCATTGAATAGTCACAACCGAATAGACCGGATTGGCACATAATCACTCAACTAGTTAGAGTGGTCCGACAGGTTCTTTTTACAAACGTTCTGTTCGACGGCTAGTCGTTCGTCGGCGCTCCTCTGGGGCGCCACTCACGGCTAGCCGTTACCATGTTATAATTTACTTCGTCGATAAATCTTCATTTTCTACAGATCATCTACATTATCTTGACTTCGCTTATTTGAAAAAGCTGTTTCCCGAAGAACTGAAGAAATACTTGCCCTATGGAACATACCCAGCGATAGAATGGAGAATAAAACTTTCACATTGTTTTGCTCATCTTAATCACCTCCCGGTCGAAACACGGATGCCGTAGAAAGTTAGTGTTCGAATCTGAGGCGTGTGAAGAATTGATTGGAAAAAAATTCTGTTTTCGTTCGTCGGCGCCCCTCCGGGACACCAGTAACGACTAGCCCTCCCATCCTTTGGTGTACTCTGCGAATAGGTCATCATCAGCTACGCGGTATCTATCAGATCTTGGTTCGCCTTATTGCAAAAAATTTATATGCTTCACAACAGGAAAATCAAAGGTAAAAATTCTGCGTACAAGACTTTCCTGTGAATGATTCACATATCACTTCTATGAAGGTTTTGGAAAAGCTCAGACTCTATTGCAGCTTTTTTTTCTGAAAGCTAGGTTGAATCGTCTAAAACAACTGTCAACTGATCACGGATTTCCCGACCCCGATTACCTTTGCTCGAACTTTCTCTAACAACTGGTGCTGAATTTTTATTGGTTTAGCGGATACTAAAATCTGATTGGTTGGCAAAGAAACACACTTTAAAGATATTAAGATATTTAAGAAGCGTAAACCCCTTTCTTTCAGAAAAGGAAATTCTTTTTTTCGTAAAAAAGTGTTTCTGGGTCGTAAAAAAACCAAAACTCAAAACCTCAAAAAACTGATCACGGATTCCAGTTCCCGACCCCGACTACCTGTGATCAAACTTATTCTAAAAGCTGGAGCTGAGTTTTTATTGGTTTGGTGCATACTGAAATCTGATTGGTTTGCCAACAAACAAACAAACAAACTTTTAAGATATTTAAGCAGCGTATAACCCTTTCTTTCAGAAAAGGGAAAAAGAAAACGAATTGGATAACCAATTTTCAGAAGCATAATAATTCGTATACGGCGAAACAATGGAAATCGTAATAACCAGTAGCACACAGTAGATATAACACTGATCAAATAATTTTATCGTCTCTGCAAATGAAGCTAAAAAGGAAGACAGACAGCCTACCATTTAAAATTTTCGCGTATTATGCGCGTTTAGTTTTCAATATAGGAATCACTTACTCAGGACAGTAGCAGAAACCTCTGGACCCAAAACAACATTGCTGGGCCAAGTTACAGCCTGCAGAACTCTGATTGGCTGAAATTTGCCTCTCCCCCCAATCTTGAAACCCTATTGGTGGGAACCGCAATGTCAAATAACCCTTAATAGTTGATGCCCGGACCCAAAACAACTTTGCTGGGCCAAGGTACAGCTTGAAGAAATCTGATTGGTTTGCAAACAAACAAACTATTAAGATATTTAAGCAGCGTATAACCCTTTCTTTCAGAAAAGGGAATAAAAGTGAGCAACTGTTAAAAAGAAAACATACTTTTTATTATACTAAACTCAGATTCGGATTCCCCGACCCCGATTACCCTTTGGTCAAACTTTCTCAAAAATTAATAATATTTATTATTAATTAATTATTAAACTGATTAATAATGATAAACTAACCTCAGATTCGGATTCCCCAACCCCGCACAGTGGGCAAATTTTCCATTGCAGGCGGACATGGAAATTTTTAGATTTATTGAATAACTTGATTTGGTAAATGTTTTCAAAAAAAAGTGAATAGCAGGTTTTGTAGCGCATGAAAAGATCTTCCTAGTGCGATATTGATCGGAATTTTCGTCGCTATAGTTCTTATAAAATTATAATAAAAACAAAAAAAAATGATGTCCGCCTGGTTGCCCACTGTGCCCCGATTACCCTTTCGTCAAACTTTTACTGCGAACTATTACTAAATTTTTATTGGTTTAGCGCATGCTGAAATCTGATTGGTTTGGCAAACAAACATACAAACATACAAACATACAAGCATGCAAACAAACTTTAAGCATTTTTAAGCTCCGTATAACCCTTTCTTTCAGAAAAGGGAACAAAAAAGAAAACAATTAAAATTTACACAAATAGAATTGAATACCCAAGAGTCTATTTTACAATGTTATCTAGCAACAACTGAACCAAACATAATACACCAAGAGGACACAAAATGGATTAACAAGTATAACGGCGAATTTAAAGATAAATTAATCATAAATCAATCAAAGAAAATTGAGGAATTAAAAGAAGAGCAAAGACAGGAACACATCAAACAAATTCAAAATAAAAATTCAAAAATACAATATATTCCAACAAACAATGTGAATAATTTAAATAATGTAATTAATATGTCGAAAGTCAAACTAAGTGAAGCGCATTTAAAAGTTTTATCAAAAGGCTTAAAATTCGTACCAACTCAACGAAATATTAATACAATTACCACCATTACAAATTGTGAAACATCATTAAACTCAACACCATCCTTAATTAAAAAAGCAGCAATATCGGAAATTACAACTTTTATCAATAAATGGAGAAAACCTAAGAAAAACAACATGACAAAAGAAGAAATCAGATTACTAAATGAAATTAAATCAATGGATCAAATAATTATTATACAAGCAGACAAAGGTGGCAAAATAATTATTATGGACAAATCAGAATACATCAATAAAATTGAAGAAAAACTTAACGATAATAATATTTATGAAAAATTAACAAAAGATCCCACTGATGAATTAAAATTAAAAATTAACACTATAGCAACAAAACTAAACCAACAAAATAAAATTAACATGGCACAGAAATTACAGTTAACTGGAATCGACGACCTTCCGACCAGACATGATAGCAGGACAACTTTTTCTGTCCTGTCCTGTCCTGTCCTGCAGTAGGCCCTTGTCCTGCCGCTCCACAGGACAGGACAAAATTTTACTTTCGTCCTGTCCTGCAGGACAGGACAGGACAGGGCAGGACAGGATAATAAGCAGGACAGATATGAATAGCTTCTCAAAAGAGATACTTTTTACATAAACATGTAACTATTTAAAACATTTATAGCTACTTAGCTTTCCTATAGCAATGCAATGTTTTCATAGTTATTTAAAATTTAGATAGCTGTTTGAATAACGGCTGTACATATCCTTAAAAGGTATTCCTCATATTTTTATTTTTTTTACCCCTTGCTCGAAAAAAATAAGAAACATTATATAGATCTGTAGGTCCCATTCTAATATTAATCAATATTGATTAACACATGCTATTATTCGAAAAAACAATGATTCTTGCAGAACAACGATTCATAAAAGTGTCTTACGCACAAAGTTCCAAAAACATAGCAAACAAATATTTCAAAATATATCGAATTTCAAATAACAGTAGCATAAACAAAGAGCTATAATAAAACTGCATAAATATCAAAGCTTGGAAGAGCAATCAAAGAACTTAGGAATTGTCAGAGATTTACACAGCTTTTCAAGCAACCAATGGCTAGGAAAATAATTCAATAGCTATGCCACGGAACCAAGTAGCTATGCAAATTTTAAATAACTATTAAAACGCCAAATAGTTATTAAAAGATTGAATAGTGTGGAATAATTAAATAGCTGTGGACAGAGATGTGACAAAGAGAAAAAACTTAGGGTCTACGGCAACATTCTGAGAACTAAAAGTATGCGAACACAATTTTTTTGAAAGTGGTGGGTACAAAACGAACTTTGCTCACTTTATGATCATTTCTCTAAATAAAAAATAAGATTTTGACTGGAAAAAAATGGAAGTTTTCTAAAAGTGTGGAGATATACACTCCAAAATCGCCACCTCCCTCACTGTGAAAACTTTAAATGGCTATCCAATGAATTAAACAGTTATGAAAGGGAATGAAGTACCTATGCAGATTTTTAAGTAGTTATCAAACAATTAAATAGATATGGAAAGAATTAAATGGCTAAGATAAAAAATAGAATTAAATGATACAAACATTGTTTACTACTTGCATAGTGACTCCTATAAATAATATTTCATATGTGAAGTATAACTGATTGATCTTTAAATTATAAAATTCAAAGGACAAAATCTGGAAAAATTCATCCAAAACCTACATCTAAAAATGCAGGACGAGGTTGTGTGTCCTGTCCTGTCCTGTCCTGCAAAGGCTCCCTGTCCTGCCGCTCCATAGGACAGGACAAAATTTTACTTTCGTCCTGTCCTGCAGGACAGGACAGGACAGGACACAGGATGACCGCACCGTCCTGCCCTGTTATCATGTCTGCTTCCGACAATACGTGGTCAACCAAAATTACATAAAACAAATTATCCAATGCGTATTGTTACATGCAGTCGAGACACAATCTTATCACCAGTCTCTCAATTCATCTTTAAAATAATAAAAGAATTAAGAACAACATTACGAGGTACTGTTAGTAATACATTTAAATTTGTCAAAGAAATTTCAGAAATGCCACTTCAAACAAATGAGCAATTAGCAAGCTTAGATATATGTGATTTATACACCAATATATCAGTTAATAAAGCAGTGGATATTACTATTGATGAACTTATTAAATCAAACAAATTAGATAATATTAGTTTAACAAAAACAGATATTAAAAATTTATTATTACTATCATTAAAAAACAGCTACTTCCAATTTAACAATAAATTTTATAGACAGAAAAATGGTTTACCAATGGGTAACACATTAAGCCCGATTATTGCTGATATATATATGAATTATTATTCAAATGAACATTTACAACAAATTAATGTTACGTCAAAAATATGGCGTTATGTAGATGACATATTGATTATAACAACAATGAACGAACAACAGCTAAAAAACTATGTTAATGATTTAAATAATATTAAAGGAACGATAAGATTTACATATGAATTTGAAAACAACAACCAAATTAATTTTCTTGACACAACATTAACTAAACAAATTATCAACGACAAACTACAAATTAAAGTTAGATGGTTCAGAAAAGATTCAGCAGCAGACCGTCTTCTGAATTACCACTCGAGTCATAGCAAATCTATTAAAGAAAATATTGTTAAAAACATGACAAAAATAATTATCCAAACAACTAAAGATGCAAATGAACAACAAGAAGATCTTAACAAATTGAAACACATGTTAATTAATTCCAGTTATCCAAACAAAGAAATTGAAAGACTTATGAAAGAAGCTTGTCAAACATCAACGGCAAATTACACTTCAGCAACCAACAAAAATGACTTAAAATTCAGCATCAGCCTTCCATATGTTCCTGGAATTGAATACTTAAACGAAAATTAGAAAAATTAAAAATTAAATTATATTTTTCTTATCCAAACAAAATACAATCTTATCTAAACCAATCAATTAAAGTACCATCAAAATCGGTAGTATATCAAATACAATGTGATTGTACTCCACCCAAAATTTATAATGGTGAAACTAAAGTCGGCATTAAGAAAAGAATGCACCAACATTTTCAACTTATAAACAGACTTGATGACAAATCAGAAATGGTGCAACACATTGAACAAAAACGTTATCAATGCTTATTCAATACTGACCAAGCATTTATAATAGAACAAGAAAAGAACTGGAATAAAAGAAAAATAAAAGAAGCTATTTATTCATTAATCAAAAACTCTATCAACAAACATGATAACATTATTGAAGCTTGGGATCCAATTCTATATAAAGCGAAACAACAAATCCAAAGAAAAATACAACAACAAAAACAAAAACAACAACAACCAAACAACAACAGCTAACCAAAACTGGAACAAGATGGTAATAGTGATACGGAATTAACTCATTAATCCAGACTATTGCTTTACCGTCTTGTTCGGTATCACTATTATAACAAAAATGAAACAACGGACTAGACCATTATGGCACACATATAAATATGGCTATCATTTTGTTATATTATTTCCTATTTCATATTTTGTCTGATGAAGTTGTAAATGTAAACTACAACGAAACGTCACATTTAAATAAATATATATCAAACACTATAAAAGCTTTAAATAATAACATCTTTTCATCTGGAAGAGAAATTAAAATGTCTAAAAAGGATGAAGAAGAAGTTCAAACATCACCATGTAAAATGCTGATGTCGTTTTCGAACAGATTCCTACGTCTTTTTCCATGTACGATGTTTTGATGGCTTGTCCGGTCAAGTACAGATAGAGAACTTGTGCCATACACTTTCCTTTGTTAATTAAGTTTTCACCAGCAAGGCCTTTGGGAGTTTTAAAAGAGTTATCAATAAAGAGTGTACCGGATTCCAATGTTGAATCTTTTGTAAAATGTTTTGAAATTTCATTTAAAATTTTTATGTAGATAGAAAATATTTGAGCGAGTCGATCGCGAATGTTTACAATATCATCATTGATTTCCTCTCTTTTATTTTCCCACTTTACATCGAATGCTTCTTCAATTACCTTTGTGGGTTGAGTAATATACTTTATATGCCAATCAACGTTAGCTATATTCAAATTAGCATTGTCACAGACGTGTTGAATATTTTCACGAGTGAACACATCTGTCTTTTCAACAGATTCGTCAATTTTATCTTGTGCTTTTTTTTTAATTGTTCCTCGAGAATCTTACCTATTTGATCAGTTGAACTTTTAGCAAATTTTAGATCCATATTAACACCTTCTCCACATCCAACCATACGCAAGAAATAACTCTTCAATCCTTCTTTCTTTGTGATGAATTCCTGAAGTTGACTGTGAAAATGGTGATATTGTTCTTTGAAATAGAGTTTTGTTAATAGAAGTACATTGACTGTATGAAAGGCAGATGATACATGTTTAGATAAGGAAACATTGAAAACATCCAGTTCTTCTTTTATTTCTTTTAGTGTACTGTTTACCAGACCAACAATTTTTTGAATTACTGCAATTTCTATGGGTGAAACACCGGTACCTGTTTCACAGACCTGGTCCTGAATTTGTTTGTAGATTGAATCAAATATCAGTACTAAAGGAAAAACGTTTCTGTCTGGTGTAGGTATATCGATTTTTTCATTGGTTAATAGATGGAGAACGCATTCACGAAAGTTTCTTTCTGTCGGTGTAACTAATTCGTCTTCTGTTAAAGTTTCTAAGTCAGGTTGTTGACTTTCATGGCTGCCTGAACGGAGTAAGTTTAAGAAAAAGCCAGTGAATCCTTTTTGTTGTGAAGATTGTGGTTTGGGTTGTGTATGTTGTGTTGTGTTTACTGGACGTTTTACTAGATTTCTGCGTGTGTTTCGTGGTTTCAGCTTTGGCTTGGAATGTTGTTGCAGTCGATGTATTAGACCGATGTTGTTTCTCAAAATTGGTGAGATGCATTTCAAGGAGTCCAGGATCTAAATATTTAAAATTTGCAAATGTAGATTCTCTATATTGTGTGATTTGGCTATGGACGACATCATTGTCTGTTATACTTGAATAGTTAGATATTTGTGCAATAAAAATTGTTCGCATTTCTTTCTTTAAATTTGACAGATCAAGTTGTTCCATGAATTGAAAGGGCAGCAAAAGGTGTAAGATTTGATCAGTTGCTATCAAATTAGTTTTTTCGATGCTGTGATAATTGGGATAAATAAATTTAATTGCTGTGTGTAGACGTTCTTGTGCGTTGAACCTCTCTTGGATGCTGTTAATTTTATTTTGCCACATATCTTCAAATTTGTTTACAGCTGACTCATAAGTTTCGTTTGCACTGTGCTTAATCATGTTTTCCACCAACTGTCGCAATTCATCGCCACCAGTATGCCACAATTCTTTTGATCTCTCTTTTTCATTAGCTTGAAGCGCTGTGGTTTCCCAAGCTTTTTTTAAGCCGGAGTATTGCGTGTTGAAAAACTCAGTGGCACGCGTTCTGATTGTAGCTGAGGCTTTCATAATTTTTAATCGATCTTTCAAATTTTTATCCAAATCTTTGTAGATTTCGCCAAACAGAGAATTAACTTCGAGTTGTAAATTATTTTCACTTAATTTGCACGTGTCATTAACTAACTTCCGTAATCGTTCTGGCGGTAGTTTTTTTTCGATTTCATGACGAATGTGATTACGACTTTCCTCGTCTTGTGTTTTTTCATAAATATCGGTGAAATATGTTAAATCAGGAAATTTTAACAAAATGTCAAATATTGTCTTGGCAAAATCTAGCCACTGTTCTGGGTCTGAGAAAATAGTTTTACTTTTTTCAAAACATGTTTTCGCAGAACTCATCAAAGTTCCGCACAACAGCTGAGCAAGTTCAATAAAATTTGGCATTGTTCGTACAGCATTCGGCGAGTCTTTATCTTGTTCACAGAGTCGTTCAGTTTTGTAAGCTAGTGGCAAAGAGTGGAAGGTTTCTTTTGTAACTTTGATCACATCTTGCAGATTGTGTTCTCTTAACAAACTTAACAGACCTTCCATCGCTTTTTCATCCTTTGCGCCATCCAACTTGCCTTGCTGTTGATTTATAACAAAATGGACCATGGGTTCTGGAACTCGACTGACTCCAATGTTTTGCAGAGAATGTGCACACAGTATTACTAAATTATTCAGTTCACTGGTTAAATTAGTGACATTCACTATGACTAAGTGAGAGACAGCCAGGCAGAATAGTACAATTCGTCGATCATATTCAAGATCACATTTCTCACCGGATGATAGACCTTCGGTGTCGATTAGCATAATGTAATCAAAATCTTTCGAATTCGATTTTGCAAGTGATCCGTAAATTCCACGCGTGCATCTTCCGTTACGAACATCAAAAAGAGTGCCGAACATATAGTTCAATAGTGTACTTTTACCACTATTCTGTGGACCGATGATACTTATTACCAACACTCTTTTCCGTGCAAACAAAGATAATGCACACGATAGAAATTCATGGTGCAAGTAGAAGTTGTCACCATCGACGATTTCAAAGGGAAAACCGGCTTCAATGTACTGCTGATAACTAGTTTTAATAATTTCTCGGATACTGTTTTTTTGATATTGATAACAGACAATTGCATTTCGCCATAAAACTTCAAGAGAAAACACTTTTTCAATCGAAATGTCACCAGCAAACTCATTTTCTCGTAGAAATAAATTTTTGGAAAGTTTCAATTCAGCTGAAAGAATATCCAAATTCATTAAGCGGTAATCTTGTTGAAGAAGACGAACAAAATCATTAAAAATGACACCGCATTCATCCCCCTTTGTTTTCTTTAGTTCTTGCTCAAACGTAACACTTTCACTTTGAAGCTTGAGCATTTCATTACTTCTCGCACCATAAAAAGTGATTTTCGTCAGTTCTTTCATTGTTTTACGATATTTTACAAACAGAGAATAGACAGGATAACCGTACTCAGCGTTTTTTGAGCTTGCATCTAATAAATTGCTTTTTAAAGAATAAATTGTACGGGCGCCATGGTCCATAGCACTACGATCACTGTCGTTCATCAGTTTTGTTATAGTTTTTGACTTCTGCTCTTGCATTATACGTGGTGAATTGGCTAGAAATCCGGCACGTTTTGATGAACTAAGTAATTTATCAAAGATTTCAGACCGAAGTTTGTTGATCCAATGTTCTTGATCTTTGAGATTTAGATTTGGAACATTGGGGAATAGAAATTTATCGCCTGTTGAAGCTGCTGTTGATAAAACAACAGGTTGGTCAGCAGCTGAATCATCTGAAGATTCGTCAGAATCAGAAGAGCCTTTATCTTCAATAAAATCCCGTATAATAAGCATTTTGAATTTATCAACAGGTAAGGCGTTCAAAAATTCTGAAATTAAATTAGCATTGTCTTGAGCAAATTTATGCATGACTTGTATGAGAAAACCTTCGAACAGATGATGAATGTCTAGGATAAGCTGCTTCGGCGGTTCGCCATGTGTATCGGCAACATTCACACGTCTTTTATCAATAAAATTGTAGCCAAAGTCAATATCAATGGTGTTTTGAAAATAGATACTTTTTTGATGTTCTTCAAACGATGACATGAATAATTTTTTGAGTAAAGATGATTTACCCGGACACGATCCAACACCAAAAGATAGCACAGTGGGAGTTGTTGTATCCCATAAATGATAAATTTGTGGCAAAATTTTTGTTTCTTCTGTTGCCAAATTTATTAGTGGTGCGGGATTTTGTCTGCTTAGCAGTGACATAATTACTCTACACACGAGTGCATCCGAGTTTCGTAGCAAGATATCGATGAGCATTCGCAAACTAATTTTTGACAGAATTTTTAATAAAGATTTGTCCGTTACGATGCCTGAAGTGGCCATACCCAGGGAATATAGTGTTGTCATAAATGCTGTCAGATTTTGTTGTCGTTTTAGAAGATACATGATTGTTATTAACAGATCACAAACTAGCTGAGAGAAATATTTATGGTTTTGATATGCTTTCAATGCATCTTCTAAGATGTTCGTCAAAGATTTTTCAGTATAAATTAGTTCACCAGCTTGTACCAGATCTTTCAATTCGAACTTTTTTGCTGTTGATGTACGGCTATTTTTAAGAATATCCAGTGGAATGCAGGAACGAACAAGTTCAAATTCACTGTTTTGTTGTTTATTTGCGGATGAATTTGCACTACTTTTCTTTTTTGATTTAACAATGCTAAGTGTCGGATTTCCTTCTTTACTTATGCCTTTTTCCGGTTCAGCTTTCTCCTCAGTAGGTACTGGAAAACTTGTTAATGTAACAGCGTTTTTTCTAGAACTTTCCACTTTGTTAATCTGGCCAATTGAATTTTCACTACTGCTATTGGCCGTTTGCGGAGAGCTGTGTGTTGATGAGGTTGAATCGGATTGTGGTTTAATGTTATTTGTGAACGTCGATGGTGATTTGGAAGTGTGTGAAGATGAAATAATATCTTCTGAAGGTAGTGTTGCTAATGAGTTTGAACTCGTATTTTCTTGTGCATCTGTGTTGGGCATATTTTTGTGATCATTCAAAGGAGCATTGGGTTCCCGCGTAGTAACATCGGGTGATGTGGGAGAGTTTTCAGTGACGACTTCACGAGCTGACATTGAACAAATTCCATTTTTCGAATCTAAGGTGTTTGGTTGTAGCTGAAGTGTGTTAGAAGGGAACAATTTAATTTGTGATTCAGTACCGGCAGATGTGTTGGTAAAAGCATTGTTTTCAGCCTTGACGTTATTTTCTGGACTGCTGTTGACAACTATGGTAAGCGTTATGTCGTCTGGATTTGTGCTCGGAGAAATGTTGCTTTCGGTGTTTTCTCTTTCTAAATTGGCTGGTGTATTTTCTTCGGTTTTCTTGGAAGCTGTCGACAAGCTTTCTTCGGTAGAAGTTAATTGGTGGGGACTCGTTTCGTCGGTGCTTTTATTTGTCTGACTTGAAGGTATCATGCCATTAGACTCAGATCTGCCATTAACCGGAGTTATAGGGTCTGATGTGGAAGAAATTGTGGAATTTAGAGCTGAGGGTAAGTTTGTTTCAGGCTGTGCAGCAGCAGCAGACGAAGATGCTATTTGCGAAGAATTTAAATTATGAGTTTCCGTACCATATATTTCTTTGTACGAGGGAGGCTGATCTTGCGCTCCAATGTCGTTAGGCATGTGAGTTGGGCCCAACAAGAATGATGATGTCATTGAATTAGAATTAATGTCATTCTCTTGATTCAACATTTGTTCTTTCTCGGTACAACCTGGTAGTACAGATTCTGCTCGTGTCGAAGCATAGTCAGCACCGAGGTATGTCGCTTCTTTTTCAAGCAATCCTTGCGCACTACGCTCTAAAAAAAAGAAGTTTTGCAGAACTATTTTTGGTTTCGTAGTACGGATAGAACCATCTCGAGGACTCTGCAGCACATGCAGAACCATTTCATAGTTCAGCGTGATAGTACTACAAGTGACGCTCGGTGGCGCCCCTCACTTGGCCCTCGACCGTATCTTGGTCGCATTGCAAAAACGGTGCACAATAATACACCGTTTAAGGTTTTATGAAAGTGTAAGGTATAATAAACTATCTTTACCAATTTTACCATGTGTGGAAACTTTCACAAACGCTTAAAGGATTTATTATTCTGCAAGTTCTTTTTTACAGTATAGTCATGCTCTGTCATTGCTTTCTCCACTCCATGCTGAGAACTACCGGAGAAAGTGCATGCACTTAGCGAAACATTGCAAAATCTATTTCGTAGTCACTGTTATGCGATAAAAGAAGACCTTATTGTGTTCGTGTGTAATACAATAAAACAAAGTTCAGTAAAACATTTGGCTATCGGCCTTCACTTGCTATTCTGACCTCTACTTCTTATCATCCCCATCCCGCATGATCACTCTAAGGATTCATGGCTACCCCATCATCATGCTCCGATCACCTTTTAATGACGTCGAAGGTATCTGTGAGCATCTTCTTAGTATACACATGTTGACTATCAAGCTGTGTTCAATGCATCAAATACGACAATAAAAAAAGGTGAAACAACCCAGTCCAGATTAAAGTGTGTACAACACACGAGGATCATCAGATATGCTAGTAACTAAATCTGTTTTTTTCTCGTATCTCGCTCCATTTCTGAGACATTATCATACCGAAGGATGATTTGATTCTCAAACTTCTCCTAAACTTGATCGACACAATCTATTAAGCCAATTGAAGAATTTCTATGCTTTTAACAGCAGAATATTTTTGAAAAAATAATCTTATTCACTGGACTACTCTTGAAGAGCTAATTACGTTATTCCACATGTCGAATTCGAGAAACTTCCCCACTTATTGTAAATTTAACAATCATTCTATTGATCTACAGACTTCAAGTAGCAAAAGTATATAGTTTCTTACTCTCCAACAGAGATACATTGATCTAAACTCCGTTATACATTATTTCTACAAAGATTTTTCATTAGAAGCAGCGCAATTCGGCAAATCCTTAGTCTTCTCATGTATGTAGCCCTTCAGCGCAAGCTGAAAGCCTGCTAATTACATGGCACACAACTTCTATTATTGACTTCCTCATGCTTGTAAATTACGCCGTACTCAAGTAAATAAATGTCGCTTACTCAGTAGAACAATCATCGACTTTTGCACTATTTTTCTCCCAGAAAAAAACAGCATTATCATCAGAGTTGACCGGTACAATGATCTTCTTCTGGCGAATTGATGAGAAGTAGACAGCGAGCCCATCCTCAAGACTGCAGCTAGTCGTTCGTCGGCGCCCCTAGGGGTCTCATTCACGGCTAGCCGCTGCTATCATCAACGACACCTTTCCAAATTGGAATTAGTGTTGATCTGTGCCATGTCTACCTGCGCTATCTCATAGCTGAAGAATTTTCCTTACTAACCTCAGAACTACAATGGAGTACTGTCTTATCGTGCAGCAGATTCTGAATACTAGTTTTTCCTTTGTCCACTACTGCAGTGCCCAGTTAAATTGAGGAGGTCGATTGATACAATATCTTTCAGCCATGGGATTGATATGAAGGAGACAGGGGTTCATTTGCCATGGCAATGGCTAAGCTCTTTGAAAGGCAGATCATTGCCGATTTATAGTACGTTCAATGACATATCCGTATTCATAACATCACTATGGATCGAGTGAGATGAATACTCGTAGCTTTCCTGAAAGAGGAGACGTCGGGCTATTTCTCAATACACTAATCTCCATTTTCACATTTTTTTTTCCAAAATGAACTTTTTCTGCGAGGGAGGGGAGTTTAATAGATGTCGTTACAAATCAAGATTATAGTTTACGCTAAGGATTGCAACTTTTTGCAAATTTATATCATTCTTACAGTTATCATCGTGACAGTGGTCGTGGTCGGGACTAAAAGTCGTGATCACTCAAATCACTGCCGATGAGTTTGCATTTCCTACTCCCGAACATCTTTCGACAAACTTTTAAAGAAATCATTATTTCCTTGAAAAAGGCTTTTTCAGCAAAAAGTTATTTGGAAAATTTTCGAAAATTTAATTCAAATCAGTTCTTTTACCGTGCAAATCTGTTATGAAATTTTAGGAAAAATTGTTATTTTCTTACAAGAAAACCTTTTTAGTAAAAAACAAACTAGCCTTAATTACGGTTAACTCAATCAGGTTTAGCAGACTTAGCAAACCTTGACCACCCTAGACGTGACTATACATGTACAAACATACACACGTATTTTTTCCATATAACCCTCCTTACAATTGACAAAACTTCGAGAAACGAACTTCAGATTCGGATTTCCCGCTATCTATTCGACTTCAGCAACCTCTACTAATTATGATTATTTGCTCAAAACTAGCCTGTCCTTGACCAAACAGATCAAACTCAAAATCTTCAAAAGCTGGCTTCACTAACATGTTTTCGTGAAACTTCATTCGACGTAGTTCGGCAAGTAACACCTGAACGTGTGACTTTCCCGGTGCATGTAAACATACATAAGCAAAAACTCACATTTTCTTTATATGACCCTACCTAAAGATGAGGCACAAAAAAAGTCACTTAAGGGGACCCCCCCCCCTTTCCGGCGTTTCTAAGAAACGGCCGAACGCAGATTCCTGAAACTTTCAGGGTAGATAGACCTCGAGTAGTAGAGCAAAAGTTGTCATAGACGCAAAATTTGACAGACGTCATCTTCATGGACTTCCAGAGACCCCAAGTTCAAAAAATTGCAAAAAGGTTCACTCTCCCCGATATTTCCAATATTAGAACATTGTTAAGTGAAA